CAATTCGTGCTAAAGTGCTCATGTATATATATGCGTTTATGTATGACCGAAGTTAAAAAACACAAATATATTTGTTTATTACTTATTATATATATATATATATATTAATTAATTAAATATATAAATTAATTAAAATAAATAAATAGCGATTTAAAATAAAGTATAAAAAGAGGAAAAAGTAAAAAATGTTTCGTATCGAAGTACGATTTGGAAACATAATTTTAAATTCAAATAAAAATTACGTAAATAAATAAATGGTTAAGAATTTATATAAATAAAAATAAATGTATTTATGTAAGAAATATATATATATATATCATGATTTTTAGTACTCCGTCTCTGTCTGTTTGCTGAGTCATTTTTATTCAGTTTCTTTTTCTCTCTTTCTCTCTCTATCTCTCTCTCCCTCTATTTTTCTTTATCATATTTTTTAACGAGTATTATCTATCCACACAAATATATAAATAATTAGTTAAATTAATATATACATGAGTACATACGTATGTACATAAAATAAATATATATCATGATTTTTAATATATCATCTGTATTTTTCTCGTTCTCTCTTTCTCTTTCTCTCTCTCTCTCTCTCTCTCTCTCTCTCACTCTCTCTTTATCTATCTTTCTTGAACAAAAGCATTCTAGTAAGTTTTGATTGGTTGCAGTAAAACTTTCCCATGTATATCTATAGAATCGCGAATAATATAATTCACGCAAGTTGTCGATAATGAAATTGTTCAACGAGAGTTTTTCCTCTTGAGACGTGTTCGATACTTTTCTCAAAGTGAATTGAATACATTTGTATATACACTTGTTTATACATAACATATATTCTGATTCATAAGTAAAGATATGATTTTATAAGAGAAATGTTTGAAAGAGAGAGAGAGAGAGAGAGAGAGAGAGAAAGAGATAGAAAAAATATCGATATATTTAAAAACAAAAAGGATGAAATTAACATGAATTACGATATAAAACAAATCATTATTATACATATTCTATAAATAAATAAATATATATATATATATGTATATATATATGTGGTATTTTTTTTCGTTTGATCGAAAAATGCAAACGAATCGGAGCACAGCATCTTATTTTTTTTTTTTTTCCTATTACTTCTATTTCTTTTTCAACTTTTCTTTTTTCTTCTCCTTTTTTTCCCCTTCTTTCCATATTTTTTTTTTCTTTTCTAACGAACGTTTTATCGATAAGGATACACGTCCATCAATAAGAAATGTTTTCGGTTCCCAATGCATCTCTTTATTGCAGGCACTTGACACGAGACTGCAGTAATATTTTCATACGACTTATCGGCATTTCGAGACGTGCTAGATGTTTTTATAGTTTTTTTTTCTCCTTTTTATATATTTAATACGATATTCGTGTACCTTAAATAGATATTTAGTTTTCATTTGAGATTAACATGTTATACATATATGTAAATACATATATATCTTACTAAAAATTCAATCTTCAATCTTTTCGATTAACCTAATTAAAAGAATCTTTTTATCTTCTGTTAATTTTAAATTGAATATTATAACATACGGGATTCTTATTATTTAATTTTATAATATTTATATATATATAATTATATATATATAATTCTTTTATCATTCCATTTATCATCTTGCATATATATTTTATTGTATATATATATATATATATATATATATATATATATATATATATGTTTAGTTAAAAGCAAAGAAATTATGAATATTTAAATTGTATGCAGTTAGTTTTAAGATATTACATATTAGCTGAATTATCTATGATGATAATAATTATCGTTCATATGAGAAAATTCATAACGACGTATAATCAACTAATGTATATCTAATATCTAATATCGTAAATCTCATGAATTTATGATAATTATATACAGATAAAACGTATTTACGTGTTAGAAATTTACACGACATAGACAAATACGCAAACATTTTCATAATAGTTTTGAAATGATATTATATTCTTTTATTCTTTTTTTTTAATTTCATATAATCTATCTATGTATCTATCTATCTATCTATCTATCTATCTATCTATCTATATATATATATATATATTATTATAGTTGCAATTATGAAAAAAAAAGTAATTGAAGAGACGCAATTATATTCGAAAATTATTACGAGTCTGTACCAGTCAATAAGTTTGTTGGCACCGTAATTAGGAAATTTATTAGAATATTTCTAAGCAAATTTTATGATATATCGTTGCTAAAGCGTTTATATGAAATTCTTCTCTTGTATTCTTGTAATTTTATAAGACAGAAAAGAGAAAGATAGATTGGTAGAGATAAAGAGAGAAAGAGAGAGAGAGAGAGAGAGAGAGAGAGAGAGAGAAAGAGCGATTGCCAAGAAGCAACCAAATGAAAGACGTCGGCATAGCATATAAATCTAATTTTTCCTGTACAT